AAACTTCATGCCCAGAGCCCAGATGAGCCCCGCGGCGTACAACCTGCAGAAAGAGGAGACGGCACAGCCGGCACCCCTACCCCCTGCCTCTCCCACAGCCGGGGCAGCAGGACCCTCGTGTGAAGGAGGAATTTCCTCCTTGCTCTTTGACCCCTGGGCAGCCCCCGATGGCAGTAGCTCGGCCAACCAACGCGGCTGAGCCTGCCTCTCGCCGGGCCAGCTCTGGAGCAGGGCATCGCTAGTGTGACGGGCCCTTTGCCGTCTATCGCCTGGGCGCTTCTTCAGCAAACCCCTTTGGCTCCACAGCTGGGTTGGCAGATGCCTTATCTGTGATGCAGAGATTTGGCAGCTGAGCTGGGAGGGGTGGCTATCACAGGAGAAACCCAGGGGCAAGCGGGACCCCGTGTTCTTGGCTTGACCTTTGGGCGTGGGGGTGCTGCAGCCTTTAGGTCCGCTCGGCAGCTGTCACAGCGTGGCTGGGACGTTGCCCTCCGCCTTCTCATTGCTATCACGTGGATGGAAGTGGGGCTAACGGCGTGATGAGGAGAGCCGTCCTGGGCAGCCCACGTAGCTGCCACAAACTCCACCAACTCCGCAAAACCTGCGCAGCAATATTGACTGCAAAGCATGAGACTCCTCCGCCTCCTGCCAAGCCCTGCATGCATGCCCCGTTCAGCTCCATACTAATAAAATGTGGTATGACGGTAAGAGCAGAGCCCAAAGCACGTTTGATTCCTGGGAAACTCACTCCCTCTGCTGTGAGGTCGACTCGAAGCAACGAATGCGTCCAGAGCGGCCGGGTTTCCATCAGGCGCTGCTGAGACGCTTCCTGCTTCCATCCAGAGCGGCTGGCTGCGCCGGAGTTTGCTTGAGAAGGGTGGGCATCTCTGCCCCGTGTTTTGCTCGGGCACGTGCTCCTTTAGCAGCCTGGCTTGCCTTGCTCTGTCGTGAGTGTGAGTGTGCAGAGGCTGCCAGCCGAAGAGGGTCCCCTCTCGTTCTCTCCCGTTACTCTCCTGTTGAGAACGGTGCCTACCTCCCCTTCACCTAGCTGCCTGCCTACCCCCAGCTTCAGTGCCTGCGCATTAAGCATGGGTGTAAATGCTTTGCAGGTGGTTGCCTATGATGGGGGAGGGAATAGCGTCAGCGGGAGAACTGGGATGGGTCTCCCGTTGCAGCATCCCAGTTGCCACAGCTATGTCCTCAGCACTTCATCCTGCCAGGTACCATCACCCGTGCACCCAGGGTGTCCACATGGGGCACCCCGACCCTCCCCTAGTCCCTGTGTCAGTTCAGACCAGGCCCAGACCCCGACCTACCTTTCACACACGACAGCCGTGGGCTCCACCCGCGCGCTGAGGTTCACGGTGTTGATGCCGAATGGGAACAGCCCTCCCAGGATGTAGTGGCCAGGCCTCTTGAACTGGGCCGACATGCACGTGAGCTCGCGGGCTGCCGCGCTGCCACAGCTCAGGAGCAGCAGCAGGATGCTGGCCATGGCTTCGCTGTCCTGCAGCCGGTGCTTGCAGGGGTGTTTAAAAAGGCAGCGGTGTGGGGATGGATGGAGGGGGTGGCATCAGCAAGCCCTGGGGGCTCTTGCTGGAGGGGAGCGGGACACTGGAGAATTTGCTTAGCAAAGTGCATTTAAGGAAGGACTTTGAGTTCGGCGCTCGGCAGTCAAATGCGCAGCTCTGCCCTCCCGGCGTCATCTGCAAACCATGAGCCCAACCCCAGGTGCCATCTCAGTGGAGGAGCCTTTGTGCAGGGGGCAGGTGAGGAGGAGGTGGCATGGGGGAGACTGGCGCTGCTCTGAACCAAGCTGGCTTTGCATAAAAAGAAAAGGCCTTTGCAGTGGGTTTTGGAGGCTGCCACCTGCTTGCAAATTCCAGGGACGCCCCATCCGGCGTCTCCCCTCGCAGCCCTCGGCCCCTGTCGGGCTCCTCCCCGAGCGGGGGGCCTGGTCCGGTAAGGTGCTGGGTGCCTTCTGGTTGCATGCACGTTGCGTAGCGAGAGCTCGGGCGTTGGTCTGTCTGTCTGTCAGGGGGGTTTGCCTCCCTCAAGTGATGCTGCTGCTCCACCTCTGTCTTGGAGAGACGTGGCCGCGTCCGGTGGCGATGGCCTTATACACACGGGCCAGGGTGCTCAAGGTGGAGAGTGAGGCAGGTGCTCAACTTGGGGATACCCGATGGGGGTCCGAAGCTCAGAAACTGGGGAGCATCTGCTCTCGGTCTCTCACGTTGGGTGGAAGGACTGACTGCCGGAGCGCGTTGCCCCCCCGCCCCCGTTCCTCTGACCTGCCCATTGACTTGTGTGGCTTGCAGTGCTTAGCCCAGGGCTGGGAAATGCTCACGGGCAAGTCAGAGAGGACACAGGCACCCCCCCAAATCTTATGGGGTTACATGGGGGGGTGGTTTTGTAGTAGCACCTGGAGACCCTACCTGAGATTGGGGCCCCATTGTGCCGGGTCCTGTGTAAGTGCATGGGAGAGGCTGTCCCCACCCTGAAAAGTAACAGTCTAGGCTGATGGAGGGGTGGAAGGGAAGGATGGGGCATTTGGGGGGTGACCTTGTCAGAAGCAGAAGCCATTGAAAGGCAACACGCTTCTACAGGCTGAAGACACTCTGAGCATGAGACTCGGGCTCCTAAATCACTTGGGCACTTTTTAAATGCTTCTCTCTCTGGCCTGCCCAGGGGCGCCCGGTGTCTGTGGCAGAGCTAGCTCAGCCCATGCAGCTGCTAATCCGGCACCATAACCCCAGGACTGTCTTGCCTCTCCTGCTGCCACCCATCAGCAGCAGATGCACATGCTCGCCTTGTCTCAGCGCTGCAGAAGGGTTCGAGTTCGAGCAGCGGTTCCAGTCGTCTGTCCCTTCCTACCAAGTCAATAATTCATTTGGACTGGCAGGAAAAGGGGGAAAAAGGAAAGAGAGGGAAAGCAAGAAAAATTGTTGGCAGTCGAGACTGTAAATATCCCATATCTTTTGCAATAAAAGGCTTCAGTGGGGACCATTAATCAGTCACAGCAAGCACCAGGCGCGCTGCTCTGAGGGGCCCGGGATATGATTTCCTGGCAGGGCCTGATCAGTCATTGCGTGCTGCAGTGACAGATCACAAGGATGTGCCACGCTGCTGCGCTGGGATGAGTGGACCCGGTTTCTTGCTTCCAGCCACCTTGAGCCTAGCAAGTGAGCTGGGCTTTACTTTGGGTCGAGCCTGTAAAGCTGGGTCCTTGGTCATCGGGACACGTCTGCTCCGTCAAACGTACCTCTGCTGGGGGATGTCCTCCCTGCCTCTGCTATGGCTGGTGCAGGGAGACGGCAGGACTCGGGCCCTGCCTAAGTGCTTCCTACCCGGGGAAACACCGTCCCTAGTGACCCAAGGCAGGACTATGGGCAGATGGGAGTCGGGGTCAGGACTCCTG